TTGCTCCTAGTAGTACGGCCAGGAGCCCCTAGTAGCGACCTTGCTCCCAGTAGCGGTGCCAGGACCATAGTTGATGGAACACGTAACATAATGTAACCATGGTCCTTGGGATTCCCTCGTGGACCAAAAAGCAGCAGGGAGGTGAATTTCATGGAGAGCATGCTTGCTGGAAGATTTTGTTTCAATATCGCGTTGGTTCTTGCATGGTCCGACTGTCCCAAGGCTTCCCACTGTTTCCCCCAATGCAGTGTGCACACCCAGTGCGCATGCCTTTGGAGGCTCTCGCAATTAGACCTTTAGAATCCTTTAGAGTTGTTTCTCAAGTGTTTCCGACTGCAGTTTGCTCCTCCGCTCCCCGATTGCTTTTGAGATGGTAAGACGCGATACTCCGAGGTCAGTGGTGCTGCAACTGCGAAAGCCCTGGGAAGAGCCCAAGCAATTGGCTGGATGCCACCTGACGCCGGGTTTGCGTTGCTTGAGTGGGTTTTTGGGGTTTAGCTTCAAGTTCCTTTTCACTGGCTCAGTCGAACAACGACTGCTCCAAGAAATTCTGTGGTGGGTTGGTTTGTCAAATCCCAGCAGGTGATCCCAATGCCCGAGCCAATTTCAGACGGCGATTGAGGTTACACCTGAGGTTGGAACCAACAACCTCAAGTCCAATCTCGTGTTTGAGGACCAAGCGCAAAAGCTGGTTCTCCTTCGTCCTAAGAACCATATTATGAAACCAGATCAAACACGTTCCTGCACGGTGTTTGCTCTTCATATTTTCTTATTACTCTAAGACTCTAAGAGCCTGTATTCTGAGTTGATTGAAAGCATTTCCTAAGGTCGTCCGACCCCAAACATGGATGTGGGCTCCCAATCCGGATGATGGCACCCTCATAGTTTTATATACTATGTTTTGTCACTGTAGCATCTATGCAGCTTGTGCACCTGACTCAACTGGAGCTGTTTGAAACCACGAATCATGAGGGACTGTGTGACTGCATGTTAATTATATAAGTTGTGCGATCCATTGTTCTGTTCCGATTGAAACTCCAAGGCAAAGGGACCTATGTGACTCAAGCTGCAGCCAAGCGGATGTGAGCCGTTCGTACCTGACGATTTGTAAGCACGCGGGGCAAACTCAAGCTCTCTTTGCCCTTGTTTGGGCACAGTAGCTGTGGAGAAAGGAGACGACAACAGGCTCAAGGAATTATATAGCTCGCCGATCTTTCCCTGGAGAAAGAAGGGTTGCTGTGTCCTATGTCAAGATCGTTCGATTGTCTCAAAACTACCTGAGTTTCGACAGTTCTTTGTGAAAGAAGACTCAACGCATGAACAGATTCTGAAACTTAGTTCCATTTTGTTCAACATAACAGAACTATAATTAGAGTCTGAACACACCTGAACGATCCTGAACATAGAGTCAGCAACTTAACAAATAACAACAGCCTGACTCAAAAGTAGCCCAGGTGACGATTTTGAAGGGGATCCGGGCCTTTTGCCACCGAATCCTTCCCGATGTACCGGAGGCATGGCATAGAGCGCGTGGCACAGAGCGTAGCGCGTCGAGCAATTGTTTGATATTGTTTGTAGGCACAGCTAATGATTTGAACATTTGATTGTTCAGCTAACTCTTGCTCCAATTGGTACTGTAGAGACTGTAGAGGGAAGGCTAAGGCTTTTAAGGGTTGGCAATTTGGCTGCCTCATAACGCTCATGTTAAATTGGTGCTAGAGCTGCGAAGCACGCCAGCATTTCTTGCCACAAGCGCTTTCTCACCCAAGCTCATATAATTCGAGTTCCCCGAGGACCCATGTTCCAAGATGTTAATGATGTTGCAAGATTTCAATGCATATAGCTACTTCTTTTGAAATCAACAAAGTCTATACTGTAGTATCCTATGCAAAGGGGTCTTATGATGTAGTCTGTGGCTTTCAATCACTTCTTGTGCCAACTTGTGTCAATGCAAATTCAAACCGATGAAGGTCCCATTTGCCCAGGTGGATTGCCAGGTCTGCGACGGCCGTCCCTATGGATCTTTGGTTTCGAATAGCTGGGTTGTGCAGCTCCATTCCATGATTGCATGATACTGTGTTCAAAAAATACAGAGCTTGAATGGACAGAGGAGGTTCTTGACTTGACCCTCCTACGATTCTGCATTGCTGGGTAATAGAGATCCTGAGCCTCGTTACCCATCAGCACCACATCAAAGTGGAGGACAACATTGTATGATGTCGAATTGCCGTTGCAAAGAACTGATCAGCTAGTCAAATTCTGTCGTAACTCTGCTCACCAGCTAACAAGATGTTCCCCGCTCTAAAGGCTCCTGCAATATTGGTGGGATTCGCGTCGTGAGGAGTAGAGAAGATCTATGCAATTTGTTATATATATAATACATTATAATACATCGTGGTCTGAGTCACAAACAGCTTGCCAGAATGATTCCAAACTCAGTAGGTGACGTGCTAATTGCTGCTAGCTTGTCCTCATGGCCCACTCGACGAGGCTGCGATTTGCGAGTGCATTGGACATTCAAGGGCGAGGTGAAGTTTCCAGTAGGCAGGCCGCAGGGACACTCTCTTCATTGTTCGGAAACCAACGAAGGAAAACTAGGAAGGCTTCCAGTCTTCCAGCACATCATTATACGTCATTGTTCCAACACTGCTCTTATATATAGTATAGATCTTGAAATGTGTTACGGACGGAGCAACTGTTTTTGACAATGTTTTTTGCTTTGCGTCCAATTGCGCCACATGGACTGGTCCATCATCCACACCAACACGATGGTGTGAAGGCCAGGGTTTGTGCCAAAATACCATGAATTCTTTGACGACGTAGATTTTGCTTGATAATGCTTGATTGCATTCGTTGATCACGGTCTCTGAGCTCGCAATAGATGTGAGAGTCAGGTGAGCCGCATGCAGTCATGATCTCTGCTATCTCTCTCTATACCTTGAAGCGGTGTAGTGCAGCTCGGCTGGTGTGGTCGCATGCAGAGTTTCATGGTGACCAAGTGTAGGTTCTCAAGTGTGTGCTCTTTAGCATCATAATCAACCTGTTTCTAATTAGTGGCTTGCTTTTGGGGTCTTTTTGCTTTGGTTCCTTGAAAGGGGTTTGACCGCTGTCCCAATATGGTAGTGAATCTCAGTGTGAAAACATATTTGATTGAAAGTCCGGTCGCTTCGCTGTCATTGACTTTTGCCGCTTCCGTCACGTGTGAAGCTCGAGCCTCCGGTTTCTTGGGTGTTGGAAAACATGTCGTGCGGCCGCGGTTGGTGAGCGCTGGTGCCTTTCTTGTGGTACTCGGAGCTTTTGGTTGAACGATCCAGGGCGGCTACGGTGGTTTTTGCTTTGGTGGTCCGGTGGGGCCGGACTTCGTGCTTGGGCCATCGGGGTGCCCAAGGGACCGGAGGGGAACTCCATGAGTTCCTACTATGCCTTTCAGGCCTGGGCTGTCAGGCCGGAATCGTCGGTGGAGGAGTCGAGCGACCAGTGGCAACACATGGGACGGGGCGCAGGACACGTCGGGGTCGGATGCTGCTGCTTGGCGTCATTGGGGTGATGGCGGGCATGCGAGCAGCGTGGATGGTGACTGTGAGGGGTTGAATGAATCCTCAAGGAACTCATGGCGGGAGTCGTCGGGTTGGTTGCGAGCTTCATGGGATGCTTCTTCGTCATTGGGCAGCAATGAAAATTGGGTCTATGTGAATGGTCGCCATGCGGACGATCATGGGCAGAGTTATCAATCTAGGAGGTCATGGGGCTTTGGTGGAGATTGGGGTGGTCCGCATCCGGGACAAGGCAGGTAGGTGTGATGGTAAAGATAGTGGTGATGATGGTGAACTATCTCATCATTCTGGGGTTTCCGGCGGTGACGATGATCGACAAGGGCAATGACCTTCTGGGAAGGTGGCGTCCGTGAATGAACGGGCGGAGAAGGACGAGCAGCGTCGTTCTTCCGGCAAGATCAAGATCTCAAGCACCTATACCCCCCGGTGTTCAAGGCCAAGCACGGGGAGAACTATATAGAGACTGGAAGCGATCTGGTCGTTTCTGGTTGAAGGGTGAAGGACAGCAACTTCCGACAGAGCTCGTGGGGCCCAGGGTCATGGTTCATGCTGCGCGAGCGAGCGGCGCAGTTGGTGAAGCATTTGGAGCCGGAGGATGTGGACGGACCGGGGGGACTTCAGCTCATTTTTGATACCCTCGAAGCCAGCCCATTGTTGAAGCAACATGAAAAGCATCGAGTTGACTGGCATCGCAAACGCCTTCTGAGCCTGTCTAGGGTGTCGGGGAGAGCTTGGAGTCATACATCACTAGGGCTGGACTATATCGGCATCAACTTGATTCGTCGCTCTCCATGGGTGAAAGGTTCTTTGTGGGCCACCTGTTGGATCACGCACGGCTCACTCGAAAGGAGCGTGCGATGATCAAGACTCACGCCGGCTCGGAATCTGAGGCAGCCATCACGACTGCCATGATCGAGCTGGCGGGCGAGTTGGAGGGCGAGACGGGTTTCCCCATCAGGCAGTCCGAACCGCAGCTGGGGGGATCGCAAGGAGAAGAACACCTCATCCAGCGCGGTGTTATGGGCTACCGGTTCCAGAACAATGGCAAGGGCAAGGCAGCCTACATGATGGCGGAGAACGTCGAGGACGATTATATACCACTCCGTCTCCTTGGACGGCGTTCCAGAGGAGAACATGGGGGAAAGCCTTGAAGAGGGTGAGACTCCTATGGACATCCTCCACGCAGAGCATGAGGCCATGGCTTTGAAGTATTGAGCTCGCCAGAAGTTTGCCGAGGTGAAGAAGCTAGAACGCAAACGACAGATCCAGGAGCGCGTGAAGAACAGTCCACGCCACAACTGTGGCGAGATTGGACACTGGAGTCGCGAATGTCCCAAGGCGAAGAGCAAGCCGAACAACCAGGTGTTTTTGGCTGCTACATCACGGTCGGTTCCTTCCGAGAGTGATAGGAGTGGGCACTTTTGGAGTCATTGTGTATGGGCAAAACGCCCAAACGATCAGAAGCGAGCACAGCGTATATGGTGCTTCCTCAAGTGGCTTCGCCGCCTCTTCGGTTGGGTAGAGCACGGACAATCATGACATTCCCATCATTCCGCATGAAACCTGGTGGAGTCTGGAGGAAATGTCGAAGTGTGTCATTTTGGATCTGGGTTGCATGCGCAACGTTGTGGGGGTCTCGTGGGCCAACGATGTCGTGACGGCGTAGGTCGCATCGATGGTGCTCAGTCATCCCTGATGAGGAAGAGACTTTTCGTTTTGGGGATGGCAATACATTGCAAAGTAAGTATAGACTCCAACTGCTTCCACAGCCACCAGCCTTCTGAGTTTCTCCAGCTCTTGGACTTGGTAATCACTTAGGCCCTTGGTGGCTTCTTGGAACTTCTTCAAACCTTTGAGCCTCTTGACATGGTTCAGGAAGATGCCGAGGGGATATCCCCAGTACATCCTCGACTTCATCGGTGAGAAGCTGGGGACCGGCGTGAGGAAAGATGTCATGAAGCTCGTGAAAGGGGGGTTCGGTTTGCCAGAGTCACTGGTATTTGAACTACAAGGAGACCTATGGAGAATTGTGGCGTTCGTGAACTGACCATGCTAACAGCTTTGTGAAGTGGGTCCCAGGGCGTCACATGCTGGGTGACGCCGTGACCAAAAAGTGGCGCGACAATGGTGCCTTGGCTCGGGCATTGTGTGATGGCCACTGACCTTTGTGAGACACAGAGGAGGCTCACGATCTGCGGCGGATGGCGTCTCAGCGGCGTCAGGCAGCGAAGCGCAAGACCGGAGGGGGGAAATGTGAAAACATATTTGTTTGAAAGTCCGGTCGCTTCGCTGTCATTGACTTTTGCCGCTTCCGTCGCATGTGAAGCTCGAGCCTCCGGTTTCTTGGGTGTTGGAAAACATGTCGTGCGGCCGCGGTTGGTGAGCGCTGGTGCCTTCCTTGTCTCAGGGTGAGTTGATTAAGTGGTGGCTGTGTTTCGCTCGGACAATGCCACTTCCACTGTACAAGAGGTTGAGACAGCGTGGTCTGCGTGTACTCAGGGATGTAGCAGAAGTTAGGGCCCCTTGCACCTGCAACCACGGGACGGTTTGGTTGATTGCTGCCACGGACATCTATGATTCATTAATAGCAACCCCAAAGAATGTTTGCTCTATTGCCAGGCACCAATAACCTGCAAGTCTTCCCCGCACAGGCATCACAGGATTTCTTAGAGGCCTCCTGACTTTCTTTGCCTGACCATGGCCAGTTGCCATCCGAGCCCCAAAGCAAGCAATCCTTGGCGGTGCTTTCACGGTTTCTTCAAACTCTAAGATCAATGCCATCAATTTAATGCCGAAGTTGGAGGTATGATGATGTGAACTAAAGAGACTTGAGATCACTATCGGAGGATGCGGAGGATGATTCTTTGCCATGGCGTGTTCACAGCCACATCATTGATCCTTGACTGCATCGTTTGTTGGACCAATCACGTCGTGGTTAGTCGGCCAACATGTGTCGCTGTACATATTTGCGCACTTTACCCACAGATACACAGGTCACAGATGCCAACACATTTGTTTTTCTAAATTGAAGATGGATGGAAACATATACAAGAGACTGCTTTACAAGTCTGCATCGTTTCGTTTCAACCAGTTTGTGTAGACACGCAAAAGTTTTGCTGAGAGCTTGGCATGCAGCTGCAAACCAACATTGAATTGATCATCCAATGCTGTGATTTGCATCCATGGTAGTCTGCACACAGATGATTTATCATGCGTGACTGAGGGTAGTTCTATCTATTGATGTTTGTACCGGTTGTGACATGGCACATTTGTACTGATGGAGTGCTTCGTTTATTGGTCGTGGGCAAGCACAGGGGTGCTCAGGTAGAGACAAAGGTTGTCCTTCTTAGTCCTTCTTGTTACTAGTAGTGAGAATGCTCCTAGTAGCGATGCCAGGAGCCCCTAGTAGCGTCCTTGCTCCTAGTAGTAAGGCCAGGAGCCACCTAGTCGCTTCTTGGTCTCATCCTTGGTCGTTGGTCTTTTCCCTTCTCTGAGGATGTCACAGAGATTCGGCCCTCCTCGTTGAGGCATAGGATCCTGAACTCGGAGGCAAGGAGAAGTTCATTCTTTTGGCGAGTGGTGAAGAGGTTCTGGTGGTCAAAAGTCTAAAAGGCCGCGGATTGACAGATTCTTCGAAGAACATATCTGTCCAGACCCAACTCCAACGATGAAGGTTTTCTGGTTCATTGTCATTTTGTCAGGTCCTGCGGAAGAGCTACTGTAGTGGTTCCCCAAATCAAGCAGTCGGTGCATTGTCCCTGCATTTGCTTGGACGGATTTAAGCCTATTGGTGGCCAAGAGAAGGCAAAGAAAGCATCGATTGTTTGCTTGTCCTGCTTGGGTTTGTAGGAAGGGCCGCTGGTGGCGACTACAACCGACATCGCTTGATTGATCATTCTTCGGGAACTGTTTTCAACATACAGTAGTTCATTTTCCTGACTGGTCCGGCTCTTGGTTACTCGATGTCACTCGTATGTAGTTAGTTGTGCCTGACTCGGATTGATTTGTATAAGTGGAGCTTAGAGAGTTAGATGCATTTTTTGACTTTGGTTGAGTATGGTGGATAGTCTCATTCCTCAAAAGTCTTCGCCAGAAAAAGAAAAAACCAACGGGCCTTGATTTTTTTGGGCAGAGTCTTTCGGGGTGGCATGTGTTTGATGTTCGTCACTATCACAAAGGCCTTTAACCAACTTGTGTTGGCCTGGCCTCGAAGCCCTTCTGTTTAAATTCTGATCCAGCTCGTTTACTGTGTTCGTTGCCCTGAAGATCCCCAAGTGCAAAGTTCAAGTCAGATCCCTACTAGCACTGGGATACAGTGAACTTGAAGCTGCAAGCCATCAAAATGCCCAGTCCACACTATGACTCTTGTTTGTGTGCCTTCTTCAGGCAGTGCACTCCGCCTGAGATTAGATTGCAGTTCCATCGCATGGCCGCATGGCATTTGTTTTTGCTTTTGCCCAAGGCAGTGGCAAACTGAGAACAACTTGCCTAGACATTTGTTGATATGTGGATGAACATCCCAGTCCAGCGATAGCTCCACGTTGGGCTAACTTGGATTAACTCGGGTAGACAATATCTTGAACATTATAACAGTAAACCGTAAACCATCCCAACTGCGAGTGCCATTTAACCCCCGATTGATTACTGTATTTGTTTGATTTTGATCCATAGCTAGTCATATTATGGATCCAAATCGTTTTCAACTTTCCTACGCTTCGGGGTGCAACTGAGCAGCCAGTAGTGTGGTGTTGCTGAAGGAGCCGAGTCCAGTAGAAGAATTTGCAGGTCAAGTCGAGAGGCCAGGAAGAAGCTTTAACCATGTTATTTTATGCATGCTTTAACTATAACTCTCCGTACTAAAAAGGCAAAGAAAGGAATGCTATATACACTTGGAGACGCATTTGCTACAAACTTGTTTGTCCAGGTCCAAAGAAACCAGTGGTGCACAAAGCGTGCTGTCACGATCTTCAAGAGAGCAGACGAGTGTGTGTGTGTGTGGGTGTTATGTTCATCCAAAATTTGCCCATGCGCTAGTCAGGAGTTTTCAATCACCTGCCAGCTTGGAACCTGACCCGGTCAGCTTTGCAGGGAATGTCGGGTACTGCGATCGATGGGCTAATAACCACTGCCTATCGACTCCAAATTTGAATCTTCTCAACCTCAGAGCTGATTTCATCAAAGCCTTTTGGGACCCTCCGGAGTGGATCAGCCGAGTTTAGGGAGATCGATGCTTGAGCTTGTTTGTCAACCATCGCCTGATTTGACAGTTAATGGAGGCTGGTCTCATCCGCTGTACAGTGTGCCATGCTTCAAGATCTGCCATGTTCAACGGATGCTGATCATCAAGCGTGCACACACCTTTCTTGATTCAAAAAAACTACTGATGTGTTCGCCTTTGATTTTGACTAAAATCTAAAGGCATTGGCGCATCATGTTCAGCATCCTGTGGATTCTTTTTTGGCAGAGCCCCTTGACGCAAGTGGTGATGAACCATCGGCTAGTGGAAAGTTGGAAGCTAAGGCATTTGAAGAAAGCCAGCACTGCCAGAGCCAGCGCTTACTACGGACGTATCATGTAGGCCGCTAGATTGTCAAGTTCCCAAACCAGAGTGGCTCGATTGTGTGGCGTTTGGTCGCCTTAACGATCTTTTGGACGTGTAGGAAACCAGCACCGCTCTGCATCTTCTGACATATGAAGGAGAGCCTGTACTTGTAGCTGGATCAGGATGATGAGCAGAATGTGCAATCGAATCGTCTTGCTTGACCTTTTTGTTGACCATTGGCTGTCAGCCAAGTGAAAATGTGAACTTGGCATGACATGGACAACTGCGGCGCAAGAGAGGCACAGAATGCGAAAAAAAAATACAAACGAGGAGAAATCAACAACCGGATTCAGAGCGGTTTGAGGCTCCATGTTGAATTTATTGGTGTTCAATAGTATATAAGTATTTCAATTGTGCAATGTCCTGTGCAAAGCAGTATCTCTTCAAATCCAGAACAGTGTTCGGTCAGAATGCAGAGGATATAATAGATGAGTTCTCAGGTATAAGTATACAAGGGCCAAGTATTTCAATATGTCAATCTGAGTCTTGCTGTAGATTTCACTAGTAAATGCACGACATTGTGTTTCACACTATGATCCACCATGACTTAGTCACAAACTGTTGAAAGCAGCTGACTATATAGTGACATCTAGACTCTAGTGACTAGTCACTTACAATTATACGGGTGAGTTCCAGGTGCTACGATGGTCGCCACGAGAGTGTGGCAGACGAGGAGGTCCTTGCAATAGAGGCAAGCCTTTCGACACGTTTAAACTCTTTGTTTCCTTTTTGAAGCCTGTGGCCTGCCCCCTTTCTGATTACTTTGATGAAGTTTTAATGAAGTAGTGACTGCCTACGTAATTGGACGCATGATAGCTCACCCTTCTTCAATGAAGCTCCCTCCACCTGAGGGCGAGGGGAGCGTCGTTGAAGAAGCCCTTGCACCATTCATTTGGCTCCTAGATTTTTTAGCGAAACTTAATCTGTGGAAGTTGAGTGCCCTCTTGGCACGGGGAACTAGGGGCAAATCCATTCAGCAACCTGTTTTCTTGAAGGGCAGCGTCATAGTTATCCAGTTGGAGGCTCTTTGGCATTGTTTCAACTTGCCGCGCCTCTGCATGATTTCGAATGAACGTAAAGGGGAGACCGTCAAAGAGCGTTCCCACTCTTGCTGCTGGGCCTGCAGAATGAAGGCCTGCATTTTATCGTGGGTGTTGATCCTGTTCTCAACAAAAACAAACCCGAAGCTTTTCACGCTGTCAACCGGGGAGCATGAACGCTTCAGAGGTGTCTGCAAAAAATGCCAGCGAGCAAATTTTGCTGGATGGCAGGTCCGGGGCTCAGTTGCCACAGCAGTGCTGCATTCCTGGTGGACGGTTATATAAAATCCGGACCTTGTTGGAGTTGTTGGGGAGACCTGTTTCTTCAGTTCACGTAGGCACGAAGTGGTTGGTAGCACATTGTAAACATGCAAAACAAGTAATGTTGGATCATGGTTAGTAAAAAGCGAATCCCCCCCGTCTAAACAAATAGGTGATCGCCTTTAATAAAGCTATCACAAAAACAAGTCTGGATTCCTGGGAGGGTTCCATTTGCAATTGTTTGTTGTATTCATGTTCCTTTGTTTTCCTTTCTCAGCTTCTTTCTCTTGAGCTAAGCTCCGCACTTTGGAGCTAAGCAGTTTTCAGTAATTGCTACGCTGTCTTTTTCTCAGTGCTAAACTGTTTTTACAAGTGAGCTCCTCTGCTTTTTCAGCTAATGAAGCTCAAGCAACAAACCAACAGTATGTTGAAAAAGAGGCCTCAATGCATCAATGGACTATTTGTTGTTCAGCTGACTTGTGTGTTTGTTGATTTTGCTTGTTGGTTTGTTTGTTTTTGTGTTTGTTTGTTGCTTTGTGCAGGAGCTATATAAGAAAAGGGCTCACAGCAAGCCAGCCATTGGCTTACTGTAGTCGTTTTAGGATCTGAGGACAGGATTTTTCACTGGGTAAGCAATGTTTGCAATTGACAGCCCATTAAACAAACTTATTATTGGGGATCAGGTGCGTTCCTGGTCTACTACCTTGAACATTTGTTTAGGAGTAATCTTCACATAAAGGATTGATAAATGGGTTGATGGCTTTTGGAAGCTGTCAGTTTTCAAGAAGAATTAAGGAAACGGATGTGAACTATATATATATACAAATAATTACCGTTGCTTCAGTAGTACGACGATCGCAGGGAAGGACGGATAAAGGAACTGATGGCTTAGGGAAGCTGTCAGTT